TATATATAAACCTAAACGTGGTGAGGTCATTAATACTCTAAGGTAAATGCAACGTTTTGTGTGCTTAATGGGTACTTTGAACGACATGTTCGAAAAACATGCAGTGAAGCAACTGATTCAATATTCTTAGAGGTTGAGTGTAATGACTCATTATCAAAAACAGCGAAAAACAAGGGTGCTGAAACACACCAACACCGTGTTTGATTCAAAAGTCCAAACACCGCAGCCTAGTGCATGTGGAAGTCAGACAGACAGACAGACGGGGGAGAGAAAAGCATTATTTCTTTTAGAGAAGTGTGGTGTGATATAGTGCCTTATCACGGACAATAATAAGTTTCTGCCCTTCTGGCATCCCACAGAAATTTACTTTAGACAGTCAATGTGATAGCATGATTCTCCTGCTATTAAATCATTCACGTCTATAATACGTACAAAGACCTTGTGTGCATATTTTGCATTTGTGTACACTTTAGAATGTATTATTAGGGTAGGAACATGGCTCGTCTTCTGCTTGCTTTCGGGACTCTGACAGAAAATACACAAGGTCAAGTCCACTGTTGAAGTACCCCTGCGTAAAACGCGGTATCCTTCATCTGCAACATCAGTCTGTTCATTTCCTTGTGAAGATTTGACTGTTCCTTGGCAAGCCTTACATTTATTTTTCCCTAATTTGTGTATGCCAGCTACGTATATACCGCTGGCTACGTATATACCGCTGGCTACGTATATACCGCTGGCTACGTATATACCGCTGGCTACGTATATACTGCTGGCTACGTATATACCGCTGGCTACGTATATACCACTGGCTACGTATATACCGCTAGCTACGTATATACCGCTGGCTACGTATATACCGCTGGCTACGTATATACCGCTGGCTACGTATATACCGCTGGCTACGTATATACCGCTGGCTACGTATATACCGCTAGCTACGTATATACTGCTGGCTACGTATATACCGCTGGCTACGTATATACCGCTGGCTACGTATATACCGCTGGCTACGTATATACCGCTGGCTACGTATATACCGCCACTGATGACCTCTCCTGGTACACACACACTGCACCTTTTGAATAAAAAGTACAAGCAGTGCGCCAACAAACAAAATCCTCTGGCACAAAGATTCCTAAAACCAAATATGTGATAGCAAAGTCTTTTAGTACAGCCTGGATCCTTCAGTCATAGCACATGGCTTGTATGCATTTACTTTCCACTTTCGCCTTCATCTTCATACTATGTATTTGACACATTATCGGATAGGGTTCCCAACCGTTCCTGTGATTATGTAATTATGTTGTTAAAATCATTAATCAACCTCACTGCATGAATGAAAGCAGTTTCATTTGATTCATTTGACATGCATGTGAAGCAGTATGAAAGCATTCGTGTAAAACGACTATCGCATCCTGTCACACTCATTAACCTTTGAAGTAATTATGCGCTTAATATGCAAATTTTGTGATCTAAACAGTTTGCCTGGAATATAATTCTGTCAACAAAAGGAAAAACATTCAGCATTGCTTTGCATTTTTGGCCAAAATGCTTGTAAAAAGTAGCTCTTCACGAAAAATCTAAAAGTCGCTCCACAAGGGAAATATTTGCAAAATGCAATTCGTTTCCTTCAGCATTTCCATGAAATCCAACATTTTGAAATCCTGTGGTAACATTATTAATCAATATATTGTAAAAATAGTTCATTGTATGGATGGAGAATGATAAATAAAACACTTTTGTCTAAAAATGGGAACTTTGCACTCATTGACCTTGACCCAAATTTGTGACCTAATTAGGCATTTTGAGCTTTAACAAACAACAGATTTAGTATTCAGCACGAAAACTACTTTGCTGGCTTTTACTCAAAATACCTCATGCACCCATTAAACTCCACATTTCTTAGAAATTTGACGAGACGATAAACGGGTGTGTTGTGACAGGCGCTGACAGTCTAAGGGAGATAACTTTAGCTACCCTAAGTTAGAATTAATGCAGACACTATCAGTGAGTTGGGATATATTAATGTTGCACGGCAACTGGTAAGTAAATCTACATTATTGAAGCAGTTTTGTACATCTCACCAGGATATCTGGTGGTTTCAGATTATGTTGATGTACAGATATTGTAGAAACAGCCGTTTTGCGTCTGGTTACAGAATGTATGTTGTAACAGGCTGTGCTGAAGATTGATCTTTCAGTTGGGGGAATGTCCAAAATGATGCATGTCTTGGGTGTTTATTTTGTTGTCGAACAATGGCTTGGTGCTGACAAATCTGATGATGCAATGTTGTTGCTGATAATGAACAAAGAAAACACAGCGCCTCACATATCGCCAGCGTATTGCTCGTCTGACTGATGACAATATCCTCACACTGCCACCTGGATCCATTGTCTACGGCGGAGTTGATCCTGAGAGTCACATTGTGTTGTGTGACATCACAGCTCACATTGACCCGACCTGACAGATATCTGCTGAAGACGTCAGGGTTGGATACACTGATACTGGTGGAACCTTGTGTTGTGTAGATGACTACAGTATCATCTCTTCCACTGTCTATATTCTCCCCAGTTGTGTTACTGCTGCAGATCAGGGTGAACAGTTCTCCGTCTGTCGCTGTCATGGGGAACTTGTCAGGACTAAAGAACCTGATAAAAATCGCACATGAAAAAAGATATCACAATTCTATTAAACCCGGGGACAAAAATAAGTTAGTAAGTATAATGTGATGTACAAAAGATAAAGATTGCTCGCATGCTGTTCTGCATTACAAGTAAAGACAGTTTTCTATGCCGTTAATGTCATCCCATATGAACGACTGTCTGTTTTAGTCTTCCTGATTGAAGGTTATTTCACCTACATAAACATTCTTTCAATATTGAGAAGTAACTACTAATAACATGCTGATGAATTCATAGCTGCAGAGCTAAAGTGAGTGAGTGAGTTTACTTTTGCGCCGCACTCAACAATATTCCAGCTATATCGCGGCAGTCTGTAAATAATCCAGTCTGGGCCTGACAATCCAGTGATCAACAGCATGAGCATCGACCTGTGCAACTGGGAACCGATGACATGTGTCAACCAAGTCAACGAGCCTGACCACCCGATCCCGTCAGTCGACTCTTACGACAAGCATTGGCTACTGAAGGTTCATTCTGACCCGCATCTTACACGGGTTTGCAGCGCTAAAGACGTTGATTTAGTGTTACATTAAATCCGAATCGGGATTCGAACCCACTACCTTCATAAAGTACTCAATGATGTATTCCGAAATACAGCATGTGTTACATCTGACCACTTTCTGAAAGGCACTGTGTATTGCATCACCGTTGTTGTGAGTCGCATTAACACGACACTGCAAACATTGGATTGGAAGACTATTCTGCATGAAGAACATACACACAAGAGTAAATGGTTTATATTACGATACTAGTATCAGGTAGCTAAACGCATATTTCAGGAAAATACTATTCCGTTTAACGAGCACCCACCTACGTGTTCTGTAGAAGCCAACGAATGTCAGTAGCATCAGTCGTGAAATCCCATACATGACCATCATACAATCAGCGTGGTCCGTCTGTAAAATACACAGCAGTTGCTCATCCATTCTGTTATTCTACATATTGGAGACCTAGGCAGTTCCGATATTCCAGGACAGTGTCACAGTATGCACTCTCTTCTCTTATTTATCTCTGAAATAACGTTCTTTGATGTCAGCGTCTAAATCAAGCGTACTTTATATTACACATCTCTATCTCCCTGAGAGTAAACCTGTGTATACATGTAGCAATGACACAACACTCTGTAATCACTGTGTATTTTATATCGACAGTAAACGAGTCGGGTGTACATGTAACGGATACTGATCAGGTGCAAAGGTATGTATTTTCTTCAAGCGAAAAAAGGCCCCTCATTCCTATAAATACTTTGATACGTTGACCTAATGTGAATGCCAGAATACCTTCGAAATATTCCAGAATAATGTACCAAGGAGTGACTGAGTGAGTATGGTTTTACGCCACTTTTAGCAATATTCCAGCAATATCACGGCAAGGGACACCAGACATGGGCTTCACATATTGTACCTATGTGGGGTACAAAGTTCCCACACAACGGTGTTAATCTGTACTTCAAGAGCTTCGTGTCAACAGAGCTGCATTAACCTGTGTATGTACATAACATGGGACATCTGTACTTACGGGCGTCCCGGAGTCGAGTCTCCGTGGCGTAGTCAGTAAGCTATCCGTCACAAGATACGATAATGTTATACAGTCAGCTTGGTATTTATTTACTCAAACAAGGAAGTTGTTGTTGTTACGCACTCATTACAGTGCAAATATTATGACGCTATCATTATCAGCGTATACACCCTCTGCCATCTTCACTCACCATCTGCGGGAGTACAGCAGGCTAACTTTTTCATCTTATCCTCGATAATCTCCACTGAGAGTTATCGTAACGTATACCCTGGAGATTATCGAGGATGACTTTCATCTATGCGAGATCATTTCAGCGGTCTGATGAGTTTTACCTTCATTCCTTGGTTCTGTTAAGGTGTGAGAGTCAGACGCTATGTGCTCGGGTTCCTGTAATCTCTTCACAGAACTTTAATGTATACCTTCCCCTTAATCACATTTTATTATTCATTCTAAAATAGTTTGTAAACTTGATAAGTAAACACAATGCACCAATGTTTGTTGTATGTTATATAAAATATTAATCAGTTAGGGCTTTCCTCAGAGATACCATTTGGTGTACAGGACAAAAGAGCTGTGAAAATCACGTGAATGGATCACAGAAAATCAGTGATGACACCAGGTGTTCGCGAAAAGAGTAGGTATGTCCTGCCCTACATGGACCGTACCATTGTTACAGCATCCCCCTTGTAGTTCTCTCTGTGTGAATGTCAATATAGAAGTACAATGTATGCGTTTCACGTTACAGCGACAAGTGTATTATACCAGTACTTACTTATCTTAGCCTGGTGGACGGGTACTCACCTATGTTATCTGTGCAGCCTACAAGGAACACGAGACGGAAGACAAATGTGCCAACTGAAGTTTCCTCTCCTCACCGTCAGTGTTGACAACACCAACCAACAGTCTGTATAGCATATGGATACACCCAGAGTGATAGCAGCTACTGTGACAACTGAAGCTTCCTCTTCTCCCCGTCAGTGTTGACAACACCAACCAACAGTCTGTATAGCATATGGATACACCCAGAGTGATAGCAGCTACTGTGACAACTGAAGCTTCCTCTTCTCCCCGTCAGTGTTGACAACACCAACCAACAGTCTGTATAGCATATGGATACACCCAGAGTGATAGCAGCTACTGTGACAACTGAAGCTTCCTCTTCTCCCCGTCAGTGTTGACAACACCAACCAACAGTCTGTATAGCATATGGATACACCCAGAGTGATAGCAGCTACTTTGTCACCACAGTTTGCAGAATAGAGCTGCGCATTTCTCGAGTCACAATATATTGTAAATAGTAACTAGGGCGTGAATCTTTCCAACCCGGAAGTACGTTCAATGAATTAGGCTGAACACGACCGGGATGCGGTTTCATCTACCCACTGATATGAGGGCATGTTAAAGTCATGTTGCATACCATTCACAATTTCATGCTAAACCTCAATGGTATATCACACAATGCTTTCATTGCTGCCTTTACAACACTGATGCAGTTCCAAATGTTTGTACTACAAACAGTACGAGTTGTTAGAAACGTGCAGATTGCGATTTTGAAAAGCATATTTCAAAAAGGTCAGTCAATGTTGATATTGACATCAACAATACCAGTGAACGGTAACAAACTCCCACTTCCTAACAGACTGTTTGGGTCCCGCACACCATCACCACTACCCGTTATCACCATCACCACTACACGGGTGTATCCCGTTATCACCATCACCACTACATGGGTGTAACCCGTTATCACCATCACCACTACACGGGTGTAACCCGTTATCACCATCACCACTACACGGGTGTAACCCGTTATCACCATCACCACTACACGGGTGTAACCCGTTATCACCATCACCACTACATGGGTGTAACCCGTTATCACCATCACCACTACACGGGTGTAACCCGTTATCACCATCACCACTACACGGGTGTAACCCGTTATCACCATCACCACTACACGGGTGTAACCTGTTATCACCATCACCACTACACGGGTGTAACCCGTTATCACCATCACCACTACACGGGTGTAACCCGTTATCACCATCACCACTACACGGGTGTAACCCGTTATCACCATCACCACTACACGGGTGTAACCCGTTATCTACTTGTGTGAACCAGTTTGAGTCCTGTGGATGACAAACCTGTGTTACACGGGGACGTGTTGCGATCCCCTCTCGTGCTACGATGTGAAACAGTGTGAGCACCCAGACTGTACTTTAGATGAACCAGTAACGCATACTCCTCTGAAGTCTTAGTAACAAATGTATCAATGAACGAATTGCGTTCCACCCTCGTTTAAGCCTGGTTGTTACATTTGTTTGAGTGGCATTCTAGAAGTTGGTGGTATAGAGATGACACAACTTTAGGGATATCATATGCTTGAAAACGGTATAAGAATCTATACCAAAACGTCGCCATTGTGAAAATAAAGAAGTTGGATCATCCATAACGTTTCGTCATCTCTGGCTGCTACACTTGGTTACAGAGAAAGTCACAATGTAACTGTAATTGTGTTGAACAGAGAATACTGTACTCGTGGGATACCATGGAAGGTAAACGGGTTTCGGTAACACGGTATCTAATGGGTGGGTGTGTTAGTTTGATCACCCAATTCAAATGACACATGTAATACATGTCACAATGTCTGTTTGTTCCAAGGAAACACGTCGTCATATGAGCGAAATATTCTCAAGCACGACGTAAAACCCAATTTCACCTCACCTCACCTCTAATGAAATACATGTACTGTTGCAAATCCAGTAGCGTATGAATATTGATATGTACTTTTCAACGTTTGCTAAGAATCACGTTTTGATGATATCAAGCAGTAATCTAGCAGATAAAAAATAAAATATCTCGGTACACGATGATAGGTAAGGTAACCCCTACTGGACCTCAGTTTCAAGATGAACGAGCTGCAGATCGCCTTCTCCCGACATCCTGTCTCCCAACAACTGTTCAGGTTTGTTACTTTGTTATGTAACGTCGCACTCAGCAATATTCCAGCTTTATGGCGGCAGTCTGTAAATAATCCAGTCTTGACCAGACAATCGAGTGATCAACAGCATGAGCATCGATATACGCAGTTGGGATACGATGACATGTGTCAACCAAGTCAGCAAACCTGACCACCCGATCACGTTGCTCGCCCCTTACGAGAAGCATGGGTTACTGAAAACCAATTCTAACCCGGGTCTTCACGGGTTCCAACAGCACTGGATGTAATCTTGTGTGTTTTGAAATATGGGTCTATTTCTGTGATTTGCTGACGTTTCAATTTCGGTCAGATACTTGTTGACATGTCATCTGAGTGATTATTGCTCACATGCTGTTAGTCATTGTCATGTCAGACCACAGACTTCACGCCATGTTGACTGTGGTTATCTCAATACATACACTCGATTAGATTATTTCCTTAAAAGGTCATCAATAACATAGAGAAGCATACGCTCAAACATGGACGATGTGAACATGTCTGTGTACACACATTAATCAAGGGTTCTTTGATCTGTTACGCCTATTAATGGTTTTATGAGCACTTCAGTCAGTTTACCCTGATAGAGTTACCTACCCCGGTGGAACTCTTCCGGAGGAGATAGACTTGTGATCCCTCACAACAAGATGTCGTCTGCTGTCAGCAGCTCATATTCAGGAACCAAGGTTAGACAATTACACAGTCCCCACAGTGGAAGTTTTATTCCCTTTATCTCTGTAAGGTTTTGCCACTTTCACTCATTACTTTTAGTCAGGGAAATGAGCATTAAATGTAATTTTAAATGTTTTGAACTTGTTCTGTGTTTTGGCTCCATTAGCGGAGGTCACACATTTTTACTTCACTGAAAATATGATTTTATATTTGAATTCTCTCTTTATTAATTATTGATGTAGGAATCATTTCCATTAATTAAATGCATTCTTGTTTCATATTAGAATGTCTAAATAAGCTTAAACATTTTGTACAGTTTTATTTCAATGACCTTTTGAATTATCAAGTCATTACTGATTTATCTAGCCACTATTGTAGAACTAATTCGATCTTTTTATGTCCATTTCAGTCTTTTATACAAGACTGAATAACTGGTCACTGTACATTCTTGCTATTAGGTGTGCTGTTATGGCAGTAGCAAGGATCAACTTCAATATTTACGTTTAACTTCAACTAAAGATAGTTCAAGTGCATGGAACAGCTGCGATCACTCAACACAACGCCAAATAGGGCGGGTCTCCTAATCTCAGGTCCACATTCTGACGCCGCCCACATCCTCGTGGTGCATTGCTCGGTTTCCCAGACGCATCAGCAAGTTTATACCTTGGGAAGTGATGTCAATGTGACGGCAAGGGAAGAAATATTATCTGTATAACACTGCACTGAAATAGAGGATAATGTCAGTTACGACTTAAAGCCGAGAGCATCGTCACCGTCAGTAAGAAGAAATAACTATCATCTAACACTATTGTTTTACAACAAAGATCAACAATATTACTCCTCACATCTCGGGTGTCTTGGGCGCCAAGTCTGAAGCCAGGTACGCGTTTTATAAGTACAGCCGTTTTATAAGTACCGCCGTTTTATAAGTACCGCCGTTTTATAAGTACCGCCGTTTTCACTGGTATTAGACAATACCATGTCAGGGACACCAGAGATGAGCTTCAGACAACGTACCTAAACATAGAATGTGACCTGGGCGTGGGAGGGAACGCTTTAACCACTCGGCCACCTCACCGCCTGACCAAACCACTCAAAGCCATGACACCAGATGAAAGGTGTGGATTCGAGGGTCTAAGAGATCAGTTCGGACATATGTACCCAAGTAGCGTCTGCCACATCTGGCCTACTAGTGTCATGTTGGGATGAACGTCGTTGTTTTCTGATGCTACACTCATGTCCCAGAAGTCCAGGTAATACACTTTGTCCTGATGTCTTCAAACTCTTTCTTCAGTATCTGTTGATGAATACTTCCCCAGTAGTCCTCGATCACACCACGTGCGTACGTAGTGATGCGGAACGAGGGGACCTTTCACGAACACCCTCGCTTTGGGAGCTCGTTCCAGAAGCGCCTTCACTGATTGGACGGTCCGTCTGACGTGTGTCCTTAGCAACGTCGGAGGGTAGGCAGTGAAGTGGAGGTAGAGGTGGATGATGACGATGTCTCTGTTGCCTCTCTCGGAAGCTCGTCTATGTAGACATGGGTTGCCTTGTGGGCTTCCAGAGGAGTAAATTCACCAGAGTTTGTAAACGGCAGCTCGTGGGTGCCCCAGAATACAGCGTAGTTGTAGGCAGCGTTGAATAGAGTCGACGGGAGTGGCCATGCTGGGTAGCGCCATACATCGGACACCAGAGTCACATTCTGACGTTGTTTCAGGTATGAGAACCACTGGCGTAATGTGGAGTCTCCGTGCATCCATATTCTTCTGTTACGTAGACACAGGTCCCAGCTCCGTACAGTGTCAGGAAGGGTGTTGGTGCAGGCTGTGGAACGCCATTTCCAGTTGAGGAAGTAGCCGACAGGGGGCGCTTGTCTCCACGTGACCAGTGCTGGAATTTGGTTGCATGGTGTCTGTACAGTGAACGGGTCTCTACCTGGACAAAAGGACATAAATGAGTGGCTGATGAAGTATGACGATGATCATCGATTGACGTTAAGAAAATTATTAACTACAGCACTTCAAGGGGATTCTAGGATTCAGTACGCCGTTTACTTTGCCTTTTGATTAAAAGAGATACAATTTACAACATTTTGCCCGTATGAATAATTTACTGACTGGGGTAATAACATGTATTTTTAATATGACAGTAATATAAATCTTACCATGAGCCTCCGTGGTGACGTGCGTGCGAACATTTTGTTGTGCATTATGTCTGCAATTGGAAGTTATGCAATGAATCTGATCAATATGCACATGAATCTGTGTTGATAATAATAAAGTATACGATAGCTTAATCGAAATGTCGTTACCATGGACTGAACACCAAGTGCATGTATATGTATTTTGGATGATTGCATTGATGTACTTTAGCTGATTTACTTTTCAAACAGCTTCCGTTCCTCTTCTAACATCGGCCATGGAGGCTGAGAACCACCTATCCGGGTCCACTCTGCGCATGTCAGCACTTCCGAATGTCCACAGAACCAGGGGAGGCCATAATGTCGTCTTGTGAGGTTACACACTCGCGAGTACCCGGCCAAAAACGGGGAGGGGCCACATAGAGTCATCTCATACATAAACCT